AACATTCATATAAATTAAAATATATAATCTAGGTTAAGGCTTTTATGTCCAACAGATGGCGCTACGAGTACGACGCCCTAAGTTTGCTTTTCTGTGAGGCATTACGCTTTTCTGTGAAAATGAACTAAAGCAGATCATCTTCTATCTAATTGTATAAATAAAAATGTAATGTTTTGGTTGTTCCTACCGATTCCTTTGAAATTTTGACACAACGCTGCATTCGAATACGCACGTGTTTTTTATACGTGTCGAAATTCCCCCCACTGAAGGGAGATGGTTAGGATTAAAGCTTACTGTAAAGAACTCTGCTTCTATTTATACTATTTTAGATGCGGTTTTTTGCGTTTTAATAGGGTACGTCAACAGAATGTACACTAAGAAGAAATTTTTCGAAAAATTCCTCCCCTCCCACGGGGAAGTGTTATAAATTTATAATAGATACATTTTGAGCCACAACAACGCGTGGCGGGGTCTGCTAGTATACGAATAAAACAAAACTTATCTCAAATACTCCCAGCCTTATTTACAATAGGTTTAGTATAAGTGAAGAATGGAGACGCTGCCACCTTCGTACAAACATGATTCAGATGCTTTTTGGTTCAAATCGAGTCCAGATCCACCGCAGAGGTAGGCTGATATCAACTGGACTTTTTTTGGGCTGCAATTTGAAATAATTGTAGATCTATAAATTCCCATTGTTGTCTGTCCTTCCTTAATCTTGAGAACGTAGTTAGATTGATGAAAGTCGAGATGGAAAGCTTAGAAACAGGAAACCCGGATTAACTATATACGAACTTCCGGTTTGCAGCGGAAGTTATTTCTTATTAACTCTTTTCGCCCCATGGGCTCTTAGAGGATATTCTCTGTGCCCACCACTGGCCGAGTGGATAAAATCCCTGAACACTAATCGTGGATTCGCGTTTCACCAACGAATTGACCGTGTGGAGTTTTCTGAGTTTTCTTTACGTTTCTAACACCTAAATAGAGATCAGTTTCCCATTGAAAGATCTCCCGTGAGGTATCTATCTTTTTGGCTTATAATCTACGTTATATTAAAGTATTCCATCAAACTGTTGACGCCTTAACTGAGCTAGATCGGCCATCTGGTCGGCAGCTGATGTTTTATTGCACCATACACAATAAATTTCAATGTTTTGGGGATCAATACATGACGTTTTAGTCCATAAGGATTATATATATATATCTACAGAGATTAATAGATCATTTTTCATGCTCATCATTCTTTCAACCAACTTAAATATTAAGTGGGGCGGTATATTCTATATCAACCATCATCATCATCATCTATTTTATTTGGCACAAAAGGTGCCACCTGGTTCCGCATAGCACTACCAGGCAGCAGATACAAAGATTGGCAATAGATGAATCACATAAAATATAAGTGCAGAAAACCGCGTACAATAAGAAATAATCGTAAAAAGAGAGGATACATGTGAAAAATATAGACACATGTAAAAATTTACACATTATATACAGATGATGAGCGCGAAATAATATAATGGTAGAACACACAACGCATATTTACATAAGGCATTTACATCCTACTGATACTAAAGTATGATTTTCTCCGAGTACAATGTACAGTACAATAATAACATATATAGTAAAACAAAATGAGTTACAGGAATCTCTCCTGTAGATAAAATACAAATAAAGTATAAAACATGTATCAAACACGTATTTACGTAAAATTACTTACAAAATTGTAGTGAAACCTAGCGGGAGCTGACTTGACGAACTATTGTGACTTTGTTGTAGGAATATATGAGCTGTTTGAAGTAGAAGTAAATGTTCTTATCTTCTATTAAGTAATTGCATTCGTACGGCCAACATTTCCCTTTGTCCAAAACTGCATGTCTCAAAAAGTGGTGAGGCATGGATAGCATGGGACAGAAAAAGATGTAATGAGAAGAGTATCGGGAACGCCACAGATGGTGCAAAGGTCGTTATCATGAAGGGTGAATCGAGGTAGTTGAAAAAACGGCCGTGACCAATGAAAAATTGAGTGGTAGAAAAGTCTGGTATAAGCCAGTATATTCCATGTCAACTATGAAATATCCATGAAAATTTCTGAACTCGAATCCAGTTCATAGAACAGAAAGTTACTGTATTGCCTGTATCACCTCGATTTCCAGCCGTTCGCCAAATGAATATAGAAATGAGATGATGCTCACAAATAATTTCTTAAATACAAAACTCAAATTTCATAAAAAAATTATTTTTATTTATTTACTATTTCAATAAACTTTTGAAAATTAATTTCTTAATTTTTATGTGGCTTCAAAGGTATGTATTACATTGCTGACCTTATTTTTACCTATTATGAGCGAGATTGTATCTTGAATGATCAACTAACTTGGCAAGGAACAGAAAGTGAAGCTTACATTCGACTTATTGTTAAAGAAATCGCAAGAGCCACAATCTGATTAGAATTCAACTTTGTTATGGGATGGTAAAATCTTTATGGTATTTTTATTTGTCTTTCTCTGAATTAAATGTTTTTGAAAGGAATCAATTGTACGCTGACTTTTTTTTATGAACTTCTGATAAGTTTAAAGACATTTTAAATATTTATAATAAGTTTAGATTTTCCGGAAATTTCGTGCCAATTTTCGTAAAGGTGTCGATTACGTCTACTTAATCACGTGTTCTCAGATTAACACATTGTATACATTATTTTCTCAACTACTCATTTAAACTGTAATTTTATATAAAGATAAAGGGGTAAACTTTTGAACACGCAGTTTTGGAAAAAGGAAAACTGTAATTTTATATAAAATAATTAATATTATTTTATATAAAATTACAGTTTAAATGAGTAGTTTCCCTTTGTCCAAAACTGCGTGTCCAAAAGTTTACCCCTTTATTTTTTTTTGTGAAATGTTAAAATTAGAAATGTTATAATAAAGGTTTAAATTCGACACGTCAATAATTTAACATAATTAAAAGTATTGTTCAAAAATAACTTCTAGAGAATATTCAGTTATGGCTTCAACTTCTACCTGTAAGAAGCTTATTATTATATATAATATACATATATTATTATATGTAAAATTCATGTATAAGTATTTCGCTCATTTGTGTGGCTACATGGCGCCAGACTCTTCTTTTTACGAGTAGAAGTTGAAACCATAACTAAATATTTAAATAACTTCAAAGCAACTTTCTTTCAACTCGTTGTTTATGTAAACTAGAATAATATTTTCATTTGTAAATGAACTGAAGAATATTTTTAAATAAATAAATAATATATGATATATACGTTATTTACTATAAAAAATAAGTAACTTATAGTATATAGTGATATATAATTTGACTATTTATGTTAGACCACTAGTATACTGTAAGACATTATTCGTTATTATTGAATATGAAATATTTATGTGTACAGTAAGTGTTTTTAAATCAAAGATGGGAACCTTTCATTCGGAATGCCACATCTCATTTCATAACGTATATTGTATTGAAGCTTGCATAAATGTATACACTCAGCATATATCAACAGAAAATATGTTAAAAAAACAGAAAATATACTTTCGTGGCTCAAAATTCGTGACAAAATTAAACTTATACTATTTTATATTTTATGAAATTGCACTAGAATCTAGAAGGCCGCAGATTTTTTACATTTAGTATAAACTGTATCTATTAAATTAACGGATATCATACATCATCCGTGATTACATGAAAAATATATAAAATTTCTATTAGAAAAACATAACATAAATATGAATAATATTGCCAGATTGAAGATTTCAGTAATTCTGAATGAGGCAATACAAAAGAATTATTTAAATATCAGCTGTCTTTAATTTTTTCAAAGCGATCAGATATGATAATTTTTTATTGTTTAAATTTAATTATCTAATGTTCATATTTTAAAACGCTAATTTATATTTAAAATAATAATTATGAATATATTAAAAACAATAATAAATTGTCTTAATAAATAACTTTGCAAAAATTAAATTGTCGTTTCATTTTGGTGTTAGTCTAGTTCAAAAATACTCATTGTTCAATATTGTTTACTGATGATATTTTACATTTCGTTTCAGATATTAAAGAAAGTTGTGTTCCGTCCAGACCCCCAACAGCAGAAGACTGTCAGATTCACATAAAAGCAGCACTCGAACAATACTGGGAAGAACATGATATTAAACAAGAAGAAAGTGTACAAACGGAAAGTGAAGAGACAGAAGAACTAACTAAAGAATCACTATACGACCAAGACGAAGAACAGACAGAGGATGAAGAAGCAACAGAAGAAGAAGAAAAAGAACATTTAAAAGAGGAAGATGAAGAAGACGAAGAAGACGAAGAAGACGAAGAGGAGGAAGAGGAGGAGGAAGAAGAAGCAGAAGAAACAGTAGCCGATGAATTAGAAAAACAATCTACCGAAGAAGAGAAAGAAGAAGAGGAAGAGGAGGAAAAAGAAGAAGAGGAAGAGGAGGAGGAGGAGGAAGAGGAGGAAGAACAAGAAGTTGGCAAAGACCAAACGGAAGAAGAAAAAGAACTAACGGATGAAGAGGAAGAAGAAGAGGAGGAGGAGGAGGAGGAAGAAGAAGAAGAAGAAACTGCAGAAGAAGAGGGTGAAGGTAAAAGAGATGAAGAAGAACTTGAAGAAGAGGAAGAAGAAGAGGAGGAAGAGGAGGAGGAGGAGGAGGAAGAGGAAGAAGAAGAGAGAAAAGATGAATCTGAGGTAGAAGAAGAAGAACGCGATCAAAAAGTTGAAGCTGGTGAAGAGGAAGAGGAAGAGGAAGAAGAAGAGGAGGAGGAGGAGGAAGATGAAGAAGAAAAGGCTGAAGCCACAAAAGAGGCTGAAACAAAAGAAGAAGAAGAAGAAGAGGAGGAGGAGGAAGAGGAGGAGGAGGAGGAGGAAACTGAAACAACAGAGGAAAAAGAGGAAGATGATAAAAGTGATCGGATACAAGATGACTCTGTCTCTTCTAAAGATGAATTTAAAGATAAAGAAAGTGAAGTTATCACTAGTCACCCTACACAACCGCCTGCGGGGAATGAAACAAGTACTGTTAAGGACTCTTTCGAAAGAATACCTGAAGAGGTGATACTGTTTTACTATAAGTAATTAAATTACAAAATGCTTAATTCATTTCTTTCAAATATTTTTGTTTTTATTATCGAATTTACGTGAAGACTTCAGATGAAGCCTATATTATTGGAGTTGGAATGGCACAAGAACTTTCTTCAGAAGAATCAACATCTGAGCGACCAATTACCTCGGAAACTGAAGAAGAAGAAGAGGAGGAAGAAGAGGAAAAGCCTGTAACAGAAGAAGAGGAAGAAGAAGAAGTTAAGCAACCAAAATTGCCGCTTCGCGATCGAGATCATATCGATGAATTACTTGGATTAAATGAAATTGGAACTCACTATGATCAAGAAGACCAGAAATTCATTCAGGGTATACTTCACGAATTAAAGAAAATTTACGAAAATGCCGTTAAACCGTTGGAAATGATTTTCAAATACAGAGATATAAGCACTCGAGCTTTAGGAGGTAAAATTTCAATCTTTAATTAATTAGTTAATTAAAAAACAAAATATTCATATATCATTTTTTATAAATTTTGATACTGAATATTCTTATATATTGTTTCCAATACGAATATATTAAAAATATCTATTTATTATTAATTAGTAAAAAATACACATTTATTTGTTTATTTAATCATTAATTATTTAAAATAATTTTATATAACTAATTATTATTTAATATATATTAGTAAAATATAGTCCTATATCAAATTAATATATTTTATAGTAGTATATATCTTTGTAGGCCAACAATATTAAATTATAGTATTAGAATCTCATTTTAAAACAAGATAAATAATGAATTTGCTTAAATTTTAACAGCTTATTTATTACAATAAATTATATTTCTACTATAGTTTGAATTTTAAAAATTTTATAAAATTTATTTCACTTTTATTTATTGAAAAGAATTAATATCGATATAGTTATAATTTAATTTAATTTTTATTATATACTAATGGATATATTATAATAAATTAATTAGAGAATTAAAATATATTTATGTATAATTAATAATTATTCTTGTTTCTTAAAATATTTTTAAAATATAACTTTTATTTTCAAATATTTATGTTAATACGAACTAAAAATAGTAACTTAGAATATCAGAGATGACAAATAAAGAGATTTCTATAAATAAAAAATAATAACAATAATCTCGTAAAATATCAAAATATAATTAAAAATTTCCCAATATTTTTATCATAAATAAGTAAATTTACTATAATCGGATCAAAACAGCTGTCTCTATGCAATGTTTTCAAATAGTTTTCATTCAGAAAATAACTTGAAAATATTTTTACTCTAGTTGAGATTTCGCAATCATTTTTTCAGTAACAATTACGTAATTCTTACTCTCCTGTAGTTTACAAAAATAGATGTTTGTTACTTTTTAACTTTTATTTCACAAATATTATTTTTATTTTCCTCCTTATACAAATCATTTAATTACTATTTTAACACTAACAGGTGTTAATTTCCCGATTCCAAAATCATGAAAAACTGGAAACAAAATTGTATATACAGTATGTGTGGTCTGTATTTTGTTTCATATCTCGGGACCCCATTGACTAAAAATTTCGAAATTTAGCAGAAATACTTCTATATATGAGTTATTGATACCAGGGACGGATCTACATAGGGTCTAATATGGCTTAAGCCCTGGGCCCCCAAGTGTCAAGAGCCCATAAAAATTGAATTATCGTCGTAAATTTTTAATATTTTTTCATTAACAATGAGCACTTATCGTATAGTAAAATATAGTTAATAGATTAGGTTAGGTTAGGTAAAAATAGGGTCCCATTGGACTTCAATAAGCCCTAGGCCTCGAAAAACATAGATCCGCCCCTGATTGAGACTAATACATTTCGAATATTATGTCAAGAGGAGATAGAGGAGGTCATATCTCGAGTGGGGTCAGATTTAATGAAAATTTTGGTCGTTATTTGCATTTACAATTTTTTTTAAAAACTCTCCCTACCTCTAAAATCAGGCTTTTGTCTTTTATAATAATTAATATTAATGAGGATGAAGAAGCAACAGAAGAAGAAGAAAAAGAACATTTAAAAGAGGAAGATGAAGAAGACGAAGAAGACGAAGAGGAGGAAGAGGAGGAGGAAGAAGAAGCAGAAGAAACAGTAGCCGATGAATTAGAAAAACAATCTACCGAAGAAGAGAAAGAAGAAGAGGAAGAGGAGGAAAAAGAAGAAGAGGAAGAGGAGGAGGAGGAGGAGGAAGAAGAAGAAGAAGAAGAAAAAGAGGAGGAAGAACAAGAAGTTGGCAAAGACCAAACGGAAGAAGAAAAAGAACTAACGGATGAAGAGGAAGAAGAAGAGGAGGAGGAGGAGGAGGAGGAAGAAGAAGAAGAAGAAACTGCAGAAGAAGAGGGTGAAGGTAAAAGAGATGAAGAAGAACTTGAAGAAGAGGAAGAAGAAGAGGAGGAAGAGGAGGAGGAGGAGGAGGAAGAGGAAGAAGAAGAGAGAAAAGATGAATCTGAGGTAGAAGAAGAAGAACGCGATCAAAAAGTTGAAGCTGGTGAAGAGGAAGAGGAAGAGGAAGAAGAAGAGGAGGAGGAGGAGGAAGATGAAGAAGAAAAGGCTGAAGCCACAAAAGAGGCTGAAACAAAAGAAGAAGAAGAAGAAGAGGAGGAGGAGGAAGAGGAGGAGGAGGAGGAGGAAACTGAAACAACAGAGGAAAAAGAGGAAGATGATAAAAGTGATCGGATACAAGATGACTCTGTCTCTTCTAAAGATGAATTTAAAGATAAAGAAAGTGAAGTTATCACTAGTCACCCTACACAACCGCCTGCGGGGAATGAAACAAGTACTGTTAAGGACTCTTTCGAAAGAATACCTGAAGAGGTGATACTGTTTTACTATAAGTAATTAAATTACAAAATGCTTAATTCATTTCTTTCAAATATTTTTGTTTTTATTATCGAATTTACGTGAAGACTTCAGATGAAGCCTATATTATTGGAGTTGGAATGGCACAAGAACTTTCTTCAGAAGAATCAACATCTGAGCGACCAATTACCTCGGAAACTGAAGAAGAAGAAGAGGAGGAAGAAGAGGAAAAGCCTGTAACAGAAGAAGAGGAAGAAGAAGAAGTTAAGCAACCAAAATTGCCGCTTCGCGATCGAGATCATATCGATGAATTACTTGGATTAAATGAAATTGGAACTCACTATGATCAAGAAGACCAGAAATTCATTCAGGGTATACTTCACGAATTAAAGAAAATTTACGAAAATGCCGTTAAACCGTTGGAAATGATTTTCAAATACAGAGATATAAGCACTCGAGCTTTAGGAGGTAAAATTTCAATCTTTAATTAATTAGTTAATTAAAAAACAAAATATTCATATATCATTTTTTATAAATTTTGATACTGAATATTCTTATATATTGTTTCCAATACGAATATATTAAAAATATCTATTTATTATTAATTAGTAAAAAATACACATTTATTTGTTTATTTAATCATTAATTATTTAAAATAATTTTATATAACTAATTATTATTTAATATATATTAGTAAAATATAGTCCTATATCAAATTAATATATTTTATAGTAGTATATATCTTTGTAGGCCAACAATATTAAATTATAGTATTAGAATCTCATTTTAAAACAAGATAAATAATGAATTTGCTTAAATTTTAACAGCTTATTTATTACAATAAATTATATTTCTACTATAGTTTGAATTTTAAAAATTTTATAAAATTTATTTCACTTTTATTTATTGAAAAGAATTAATATCGATATAGTTATAATTTAATTTAATTTTTATTATATACTAATGGATATATTATAATAAATTAATTAGAGAATTAAAATATATTTATGTATAATTAATAATTATTCTTGTTTCTTAAAATATTTTTAAAATATAACTTTTATTTTCAAATATTTATGTTAATACGAACTAAAAATAGTAACTTAGAATATCAGAGATGACAAATAAAGAGATTTCTATAAATAAAAAATAATAACAATAATCTCGTAAAATATCAAAATATAATTAAAAATTTCCCAATATTTTTATCATAAATAAGTAAATTTACTATAATCGGATCAAAACAGCTGTCTCTATGCAATGTTTTCAAATAGTTTTCATTCAGAAAATAACTTGAAAATATTTTTACTCTAGTTGAGATTTCGCAATCATTTTTTCAGTAACAATTACGTAATTCTTACTCTCCTGTAGTTTACAAAAATAGATGTTTGTTACTTTTTAACTTTTATTTCACAAATATTATTTTTATTTTCCTCCTTATACAAATCATTTAATTACTATTTTAACACTAACAGGTGTTAATTTCCCGATTCCAAAATCATGAAAAACTGGAAACAAAATTGTATATACAGTATGTTTGGTCTGTATTTTGTTTCATATCTCGGGACCCCATTGACTAAAAATTTCGAAATTTAGCAGAAATACTTCTATATATGAGTTATTGATACCAGGGACGGATCTACATAGGGTCTAATATGGCTTAAGCCCTGGGCCCCCAAGTGTCAAGAGCCCATAAAAATTGAATTATCGTCGTAAATTTTTAATATTTTTTCATTAACAATGAGCACTTATCGTATAGTAAAATATAGTTAATAGATTAGGTTAGGTTAGGTAAAAATAGGGTCCCATTGGACTTCAATAAGCCCTAGGCCTCGAAAAACATAGATCCGCCCCTGATTGAGACTAATACATTTCGAATATTATGTCAAGAGGAGATAGAGGAGGTCATATCTCGAGTGGGGTCAGATTTAATGAAAATTTTGGTCGTTATTTGCATTTACAATTTTTTTTAAAAACTCTCCCTACCTCTAAAATCAGGCTTTTGTCTTTTATAATAATTAATATTAATATTATAAAAATTTATTTAAAATAAAATCTCATAAAAGATGGCGTCACACATTATTTTAACTTTCAGCTATTGATTTCCCCTTTAATCCATTTCTAAACTTAATAGAGAAATTTATTATAATTCAACGAAATTATTCGATTTAAGCTTTTCTTATTATTTATAATTTATATCGTAGAATAATTGAAAATTGTTTGACTTCCCAGTCCCCTTAATTTCCTGTTCTAATAGAAATATTGAAAATTATTCCTGTTTACTTCTGTAAATTTAATTAAATATTAAGCTCAACCTTTTTCTGAAATTTGATCATTATAAAATATGACACTTGTTTTATTTGTACTCTAAAATTCGAAAATTGTAAAATATTTTTATTAATCGATGTCATTAATAAATTTTTATTTAAACAAAAAATAATACACTTTTTATTCAAAATTTGATATAACAATTCTGTAAAGCTTGAGATTAATATAAATATTAGTACCTATCTACAATACTTCATTAAATTTGGGGTGGGCAAAGTTTGTGTTTTTTTCTTGGATTTATTGTTATAATATTTTTATAAAAATACGCTTTGTGTCTCTTTCTATTAGTTTCAAGTAATATCCACCCATTTCGGATGACCAGATCATAATATCCAAGGCTAACCCAATATTTTTTGCTATCCCAAGCAAAACCGTTTGCCACCCCCATATTTTTAAAAATTGGCTCAGAAAATAAATAAATAAATTGTATTATATATTATAAATACAAAACATGCTTTTTTAGAGTTAATCTTTTAGTTCAAATGTAATATATTTATTTTTTATTTAATTATTTTTTATGAAATGCCGCATTGAAAATGTGCCGCTTTAAGCAGATGCTTTGCTATCATCTAGAATCAACGCTTTCGTCGCTTTTTAAAGCTTTCTCATCATATTTTATTGTTATATCGTGGGAAATGACATATATAATAAATAATTATGCTTTTAATCCAATTTTATTCTCCGTAGATCATATTGTCATACTCATTTGTCATTATGTAATAACATTGTTTGTTCTGTAAAATAAATTCCATTTAAAATCTTCATTCTGAAATTTATTGTTATATAGCATTTTAAATTAATATATTAATGCCGCCTTTGTATTAATCTTTTAAATCTTTTTTATTATTATTTTATTGTTGGTCAAATTTCAAACGTTTAAAATTATTGATTTTTTAAATTTATACAGAGAAAATGGCTGTTTTCTTCCTGTCATTTTTAATATCTTTGTGACTATTCGTATTCATCATATACTAGTATAGTTTCTATAAACGGGTTGTTGTTAAATTCAACACTGCTCCGCAACGCCTCCGCTTTGGCCGCGAGACTGCCATGATCGCTACTGATGGTCTTTTAACAATTGTAGATTTAATCTCGAATCAGTGAGACCGCTGAGAGGATCACTGCGCTCAGCGCTTCAAGAAAACGAGTCTCATCGGTTAGCAGCGTTGCCACCCCCATATTTTTAAAAATTGTGTGCAGCACTTAAGCAATAATGGTCTATTTCATCCCATCTAAAATGATTCAAATCATCCCATATGCAATGCAATACGAAAAAAGCATTTTTAGTTGTTTACTACCGTCACCTCCTACCACAGTGTAACATCGTCAAAAATATCTCTACATTCGTTTATAATAGATCTGTAGTTTGCTTTGTAATCATAAGCGTATTATTTCAGTGTATTGCTAATGCTGATGATAACTTACGAAATATTCACGTATTGTCGTCGTTCAGACGACAGTGACAAGTAAGGACAAAAGACAAAAGTAAAAATTCTTAAAATTATGACGTTAAAAGTTATCCACTTTATACCTTGTTACAATTTACCCTAAATACCCTACATTTTCGACGTTTTCGAACTATAATTTAGTGGAATTATTTTATAATTTAGTAGATTGTAAGTCTATTTTAAATACTCTTTTACTTATATGGATAAATATTTAGTTCCATCTAACAACAATTAATCACAAATATAATTCAAATCAAAGTTTGAATAAAGTTATTAACTCAATATACGTATACTGAGCATGAGTAAAGTTTTCATCTTTAAATATTTTCTTAGAAATATTCGTACAGTATGTATGAATCACGCTTATATATAATTTTCAATGATTATTCTCAGAATTATGTTATTAAATCATATAAGTTAATGAAGCAAAATATTGTTAAATTTTAGTTATACGCGTATTATTCTTACCATCAATTACATTTAATGACATTTCACAATTAAATAATTTGTTATCATTCTTCATAATTAATATTTTGCAATAGAATTTTCTATTGTAAATTATATAATTTTATTTAATTCATGTAATTAAAAATATAATTATTAAATGAAAAATTATTATTTATATTCAATTACTAATTAGTTTAATTTCATATTAAAATTATAAATTATTTTAGTTTTTTAATGTTTGAATACATTAACTAATCAAAGTTAATTAAGCCTTTATAAATAAATTAAGTTAAAGAGGAAGATTTTAATAATTTGCTTTGAGTTATTTACTAATAAAAATTATATATATTAGGAACGAGCTGCGTAACATTCCCGGTTGTTAACAAATTTTATTTAAAAGGTAACTTCTATATTATAAATCATAACAAATAAAATTGTATGTGGCGCCATCTGTTACGATATTTTATTATAAAAAACATTTTATATTATTAATGATTATAAAATGACAAAAAAGCTTAATCTTAACGATAGGAATGAGTTTCACAAAAAAAAATTGTAAATGCTAAAAAAAATGGGGTTCGGGCATGGTCAAGGGGCTGGAGTTTTCTTGATTTTCTTCACGTTAGTAACACTTAAACTCCGGAAACCGCAATAAAAGCACAATTTACGAGCGAAATAAAAGCACGTTCGACTCCAAACAGAAACACAATCGAACTGCGAATCATTTGTGACGAATTTCGAGCAAACGTTAAAAGACGCGTCAACAATGTTCGAATTTCGTAAAAATTAGAATTTAAAAAGAATCAATTTTATTAAATAGAGTCCAGCTTCTTATAAAAGTCTTCCCGGGATGCATCCCTTTCGGCATATCGCTTACGTGTAGCATTGCCCTATCCAAATAAACCAAACTAATTCTATGACGAGCGATTATTTATTGTGACATCGTCACATTGTTCTCGACGACTATAAAGTACAGAGCAAGACCTTTAGTGGTGTCTTGCTCTGTACTTTAAAGTTTTCTTGTTGGCAATAGAATCGTGTCGGTTATCTATTTAACTTCGTTCGGGGAAAATTTTTGAATTGATGTAACGTGACTTCCATTCGAAACCGGAAGTTCTATAGGTAATCTGAACCTCCTGCTCCTGAACATATCTGGTCTCGTCTATCTAACACCTTTCTCGAGATTAAGGAAAAACAGACAAACACACGGATAAACAAGGGGCATCAGTCGGAATTTATAGGTCTACAATTTTTTCAAATTGCAGCCTGATAATTTTTCTATAAACGCGATATTTACTAAACATACTTCCCACATACTTTGTACAGTTTGTTGCAAAAACGTAAACACTTTTTTATCACATAAAGGTAATTATTATCGCATTTTACAAGATTTTTTTGATTTAAACAAATCATATGAAGTTTTTCGGAGGTAAAGGTTAACAACTTCGATCATGTGCGCGGCCATCACAACCTATCCAACACGGATCACTTTTCACTTATTAACAGTAGACAGGTATTAATAGTCGTTGACCACTTTCTCTCCCAGCCAGGAGGTGGTCAACGACTACTTTTGGTCGAATTACTTCGACCGCTTCTGCAACAGTCTTCTTTCTATCGGACAAGCGGTATGGTGGCATTCAAATAGGAAAATTACATAATACGAGGTTACCGGCCTGCACAAAATGTATTTTAAGTGGTTTTTCGAGGGTGCCAAGTTTAAATATATGATTAAATATATAGAAGGATTAGAAGTACGAAATCTAATAATCTTAACCTATGATGATGTTACTTTTTGCCCGGGCAACGCCGGGCTCATCTGCTAGTTAAAATAAAAACCTAAATTTTAAATAAATACTCTTAGCTTACGAGTGGATACAGAATAATAATCACAAGTCATGAGTTTATTGCTACTCATAGAACAGTACTGTATATTGTTTCTAACAGTAGGTCTACTGTTATCAAAAACAATAGGCATAGACCTACATTTGTTACATTGTACTGAGCTATAATCAAAACAAAAACATAATAAACAGAAGCATAAATATAATAAAAACAAAAAATTAATAATTATATTATGATAGATAAAAATTTTTAAATGAACATGCTGTAAATATGAAAATGATAACTATATACATATAGACTATATGTTTCATGTAAATATTATATATATGTATATTCTAAATGTAGATTTAAATTTTGGAGTGATAATCCTTTGAATTTTGTATTCGCTTGTGCCTTTCTTGCAATGAATATTTTGTTGGGGTAAACAATATACAGTAAATAATAACAAAAATAAAAACTTTGATAACAGCTGTTAAATGTGTAATGAAATTAATTTCCAAGTAAATTTCTTAATTGAAATATTCAAATAATATAAGATGATTGTTTGACTAGACGTGATACTCATTGTGAAAATATTTACCTTCCAAGCCTATTGTCAAAATTTTGGCTCTACCTTCCCGTCTAGACGCCAAATTATTTTTAGCTGAAACCCATTCCACATTGCTAATTGAAAGAACAATGGTACTCTGGTGACAACTTCGTCTGGAAGTGTGACAGTTGATTTCACCGAGAAACTTACTGAAGTAGACACCTGAATGACTACGTTAATTGTAAAGTTGTAAACATATAGAGAGAAATATTTTAATTTAAATTAATAAGGTGTCAATTATTTATATACAAGAACATTATTGTGTCGGAGACAATACACTTATAACACGTGAACTAACATAACAGATTAACTTGCTCCACATAATTATGATTACATGATTAATGATACAAGGAGTACATTGAAGCTAACTGACCGCCATTTTTACTTTGCCTTCGCATCACCTCGAATGCCGGATGTTATCCTCTCGATACACTACAGTTTCTTTTCTTCTCATAAAAATCATAGCCCTGATATTTAGTCGGTTTCTTATGCAGGCATTTTGGATAACGTGGTTTATCTGCCGGCGCAGAACTCTGATTGTCATTAGTCTCGTTCTTGTTTTACTTCATTTCTGACCCTGTCTCGCTCTCCTTCTCCACTGACACCCCCCTCTTTCTACTCCCGATGACTCCTCCACTGAACGTACAGTACGTGATGTGTTATCCATATTTAATACTGTTTCTTGAGGAAAATAACTATATTGAGTTGTCTCTGCTTGTTTATCTACCATTTCCATTGACGTGCTATGCATTTTCCATTTTCATTTGCCAAAGTAACTTTGAAATTTCGTCCACTTCCACTCAAACAAATCAAAGTAACACAATCAAAGTAAACATCCCAATTCTAAACTAAGATCCGTTTTTCGTTCAAAAAAAATAATAATAAATAAATATGTAATGTAAAATGTTAAACTATGTTCCAATCACTTGATCACGTCTCAACACTTCATTCAACAAAGGATCTCTTTTCGTTTCCTTTTCCACTTCTTTTTCGGGCAGTGTTTTTTAATTAAATTTCTGAATCATTAAAACATGACATTCATTCTTCAATGTCCTTAACGTCCTGTTCTGCTACTTCAGAGGCAACAACAATTTCATAGACTGTCTAATAATACGCCATCCAGTTCTTGCAAGTCTTTCCTGAAACTTTTAATCTTCGTCACTAATTTCTCTTGTATCGTGGACAGTACACTGAAAATATACGAACTAACATAACATTTATTTAGACAGATAACTTGGTCCACATATATTATCAATGATAGAACGGGTACATTACGACTAACAGGCCTCTGTCTTTACGTCGTCTTCGCGCCACCTCGAATGCCAGAATGTTATTCTCTCGCTACATCACAAAAGTAATGATCTAGATATTGATCTAGGTTATAAGATTTACTATAGTCTATAATAATTGTATATTATAATAATAATTTATTGAGGTATATGTGTATTGTTAATTATTTACGTATTTTAATACCTTATTTTTTGATTATAATTATTATTCATAAGAATTCTGTGATTTATGGGTGTTTATTAGTTTGTATGCATACAGTATAGACTTGTAAGGATTTAATCGGATTTTTTTTTCATTTTTTGTATTCTTAAGCTTCCAAAATTTTGAAGATATGATTTATCGCTTGAGAAGTTTATGTTTAACATATGCAATCCCGGATTTAGGATTCTAGGCGAACCGGGCCTAATAGGCTTTGGCACCCCTCCGTCACAGATCCTATGTATAGTACCTTATATTAAAATTTATAAGACATTTACGTTGCTGCATACCACTCTATTATAACTTAAACTACTTCTTCAATGTATTTTAAATGTATAATTATTCAGTTAATAACAGTTTTACTATAAATGCATATACTAATAAGAGAAACATAAGGTATTAGGTCCAAAATTTGGTATCAGTGCCAAGCGATTCCATTTATAAATTTGACATTGAGCAATAGGATGACAAAAACAAATCAAACACGAAGATTTACATTGTTAGTCTTTTTTCAACAAAAAATTCAATTCCCATCTTCTGTCTAAGTAAATAAATAAATAGACTCATTAACAAATTCTGTCGTAACAAAGTTAGTGAACTAAACACATCGTCATAACTCTGATGCTGATCATACAGACCATTCAATAATCGAAATTTGAGTCTAGTAATCAATTTTTAATTTGCTATTTGTTTCATATTTTTAATGATTATAAATTATAAATATTAGTAATATATAATAATATTAACAGTTACTGTAATAGTATATTTTAATGAAATGTGTACCGATATGTATTTTATCTGCCGATGGTTATTACAAGCTCCTAATTCTATAAAAGCAAGCAACTTAAAAAAAACTATGATAAATGCTATTTATCTTGTGAGATTAGTTTCAATATAGATACAAAACTTCTAAATCATCAGCTTCATAAAATTTTATAAAGGATTCAAATTGAATTAATTTTATTGTAAATATTTCTAAAATATAGGAATTATCGAAGCTTAATTTTAAATTATTTTATTATAAATAAAACTTTTTAAATCTAAATTAACAGATGCCGAAATTTATGCTAAGCCCATGGTTTTATTTGTTGGTCCTTGGAGTTCCGGAAAAACAAGTGTCATCAATTATCTTCTAAATACAGAAAGAACTTCCGCAGCATTGAAAACAGGTAATATCAGCATCGTTAAACAGATATTATTCAGATGAATTTAAATATGCAACGTTCAAGTTGACTATTTATAATTTAGGTCCTGAGCNAAATATAATTATGTATGGCGTCATCTGATACGATATTTTGTTATAAAAACTTTTTATATCTTAAATTAAATATTATAAAATGGCAAAAGGTTTATGTTAGAGGGTAGTGATGAGTTTTATTTTAAAAAATGTAAATGTTAATAACAAACATCTTTATTAAATCCGACTTCTATCTAGATAGAACACTTTTTTTTTTTATCTCCTCACTCCCTCCATCTTTAACCACCACTAAGTTTAATAGCATCAATGTCCCTTATACATTAGCTCCCATGCCAAATTTCGTTACTTTATCATTACCTCAGCTGAGATATTAAACGAAATAGACCCCAACAAACACAACTGAATTTTTTCTGGGTTTTTCTTTGAGTTCGCGAGGCCTCAAAATGTGGATATTTGCAAAAAATCTGAGGGTCAAATTTGACACGATTTCAATTCTTTCCCTAGTTATGTATATATAACGACTGGGAAACTAAAAGTACTTTTTAAGATTTTATTTTTTATTATTAATAAAAATAACATAAGGGTAGAAAGCTTTAAGGATAATGTACAAATATGCATATGCCAAAAATTTTACTTAATATATCCTTTCTAGCAATAACTTATTAGCTTAATAACTTCCCCTGCTCTGTTATATACAACAGATGGAAAGTATGGCGATCGGTCAAAACCTAATCCCCAAGGCTTTTACATTTTTTGACTCGAAACCTTGAAACGTCGAGAAATGCAAAAATAATTTTTACTGTATGTATGGATGTTATGTGGGTGTGTGTTTGTGTCCGGGAGCATAATTTTGTTCACCCTCTTTAAAGCTTAATAACTCTCGTACTTTTGTCGAAAACTTCTGAAATTTTGCACGTAGGTTTGTGTATTAGGAGCATTAATGCTATTAAATTTTGATGGTTAAAGGTCGAGGGAATGGAGAGACAGATAGAGATGTGTGTCATATCTCGAGAAGGCAAGAGCAATAAAATTCTTATGCTTTCACAACATTACAGATAAATTAATAGATATATGCCAATAATAGCTGAATAACACGACAAATTTAATAAATAAACACTAAATTTTTAATTGTTTTAAATATATATCACAATAATAACAATTTAAATTTTGTATAAGTGAAATTTCACATTTTAAATTTATTAAATACATCTTTACCGTATTTTAAAAACTTGCAAAAAATATTAAAAATAATTAATCATAATTAATAATAATCATTACAATTGAATTAAAACGTCTCATTAAAAATAAAAATAATAATTATTGCTAGATTTTCCCATAGACGCAGTTATAGGGGATATAGAAGAGTATTGTCCCCAACACCAGTCAAAAAATTTATCGAATTTTTGTTAAGTTATATCTGTATCTATACTAATATACAAAGCGAGAATGTTTGTTTGTTTGCTAGAGGTAATCCCAAAATCTACTTAACTGAATTTTAAAAATTCTTTTGCTATTGGAAAGCTTATTTCTTCCTGATGAACATAGGCTATATATTATTTACATGTTAAAAACCGAAAATGAACGAGAACGCTGGTTTATCGCACAGTGGCATAGCGTGGGTGTCAGCCACCCGGGGCAAAGGAAAATTTCGCCGTCCCCTTATTTAGGTATCTCAATTTAAAAGACTAAAATTCAGTTTCGTCACAGAATAAGTAATGAAAAATTCCGTGCTAGTGTTGCCACCTTTTTAAAATCGCTGACCCGGACGGCAGGTGAGGTTTGTTCGAACAGANTTTTTATTTAATTATTTTTTATGAAATGCCGCATTGAAAATGTGCCGCTTTAAGCAGATGCTTTGCTATCATCTAGAATCAACGCTTTCGTCGCTTTTTAAAGCTTTCTCATCATATTTTATTGTTATATCGTGGGAAATGACATATATAATAAATAATTATGCTTTTAATCCAATTTTATTCTCCGTAGATCATATTGTCATACTCATTTGTCATTATGTAATAACATTGTTTGTTCTGTAAAATAAATTCCATTTAAAATCTTCATTCTGAAATTTATTGTTATATAGCATTTTAAATTAATATATTAATGCCGCCTTTGTATTAATCTTTTAAATCTTTTTTATTATTATTTTATTGTTGGTCAAATTTCAAACGTTTAAAATTATTGATTTTTTAAATTTATACAGAGAAAATGGCTGTTTTCTTCCTGTCATTTTTAATATCTTTGTGACTATTCGTATTCATCATATACTAGTATAGTTTCTATAAACGGGTTGTTGTTAAATTCAACACTGCTCCGCAACGCCTCCGCTTTGGCCGCGAGACTGCCATGATCGCTACTGATGGTCTTTTAACAATTGTAGATTTAATCTCGAATCAGTGAGACCGCTGAGAGGATCACTGCGCTCAGCGCTTCAAGAAAACGAGTCTCATCGGTTAGCAGCGTTGCCACCCCCATATTTTTAAAAATTGTGTGCAGCACTTAAGCAATAATGGTCTATTTCATCCCATCTAAAATGATTCAAATCATCCCATATGCAATGCAATACGAAAAAAGCATTTTTAGTTGTTTACTACCGTCACCTCCTACCACAGTGTAACATCGTCAAAAATATCTCTACATTCGTTTATAATAGATCTGTAGTTTGCTTTGTAATCATAAGCGTATTATTTCAGTGTATTGCTAATGCTGATGATAACTTACGAAATATTCACGTATTGTCGTCGCTCAGACGACAGTGACAAGTAAGGACAAAAGACAAAAGTAAAAATTCTTAAAATTATGACGTTAAAAGTTATCCACTTTATACCTTGTTACAATTTACCCTAAATACCCTACATTTTCGACGTTTTCGAACTATAATTTAGTGGAATTATTTTATAATTTAGTAGATTGTAAGTCTATTTTAAATACTCTTTTACTTATATGGATAAATATTTAGTTCCATCTAACAACAATTAATCACAAATATAATTCAAATCAAAGTTTGAATAAAGTTATTAACTCAATATACGTATACTGAGCATGAGTAAAGTTTTCATCTTTAAATATTTTCTTAGAAATATTCGTACAGTATGTATGAATCACGCTTATATATAATTTTCAATGATTATTCTCAGAATTATGTTATTAAATCATATAAGTTAATGAAGCAAAATATTGTTAAATTTTAGTTATACGCGTATTATTCTTACCATCAATTACATTTAATGACATTTCACAATTAAATAATTTGTTATCATTCTTCATAATTAATATTTTGCAATAGAATTTTCTATTGTAAATTATATAATTTTATTTAAAATAAAATCTCATAAAAGATGGCGTCACACATTATTTTAACTTTCAGCTATTGATTTCCCCTTTAATCCATTTCTAAACTTAATAGAGAAATTTATTATAATTCAACGAAATTATTCGATTTAAGCTTTTCTTATTATTTATAATTTATATCGTAGAATAATTGAAAATTGTTTGACTTCCCAGTCCCCTTAATTTCCTGTTCTAATAGAAATATTGAAAATTATTCCTGTTTACTTCTGTAAATTTAATTAAATATTAAGCTCAACCTTTTTCTGAAATTTGATCATTATAAAATATGACACTTGTTTTATTTGTACTCTAAAATTCGAAAATTGTAAAATATTTTTATTAATCGATGTCATTAATAAATTTTTATTTAAACAAAAAATAATACACTTTTTATTCAAAATTTGATATAACAATTCTGTAAAGCTTGAGATTAATATAAATATTAGTACCTATCTACAATACTTCATTAAATTTGGGGTGGGCAAAGTTTGTGTTTTTTTCTTGGATTTATTGTTATAATATTTTTATAAAAATACGCTTTGTGTCTCTTTCTATTAGTTTCAAGTAATATCCACCCATTTCGGATGACCAGATCATAATATCCAAGGCTAACCCAATATTTTTTGCTATCCCAAGCAAAACCGTTTGCCACCCCCATATTTTTAAAAATTGGCTCAGAAAATAAATAAATAAATTGTATTATATATTATAAATACAAAACATGCTTTTTTAGAGTTAATCTTTTAGTTCAAATGTAATATATTTATTTTTTATTTAATTATTTTTTATGAAATGCCGCATTGAAAATGTGCCGCTTTAAGCAGATGCTTTGCTATCATCTAGAATCAACGCTTTCGTCGCTTTTTAAAGCTTTCTCATCATATTTTATTGTTATATCGTGGGAAATGACATATATAATAAATAATTATGCTTTTAATCCAATTTTATTCTCCGTAGATCATATTGTCATACTCATTTGTCATTATGTAATAACATTGTTTGTTCTGTAAAATAAATTCCATTTAAAATCTTCATTCTGAAATTTATTGTTATATAGCATTTTAAATTAATATATTAATGCCGCCTTTGTATTAATCTTTTAAATCTTTTTTATTATTATTTTATTGTTGGTCAAATTTCAAACGTTTAAAATTATTGATTTTTTAAATTTATACAGAGAAAATGGCTGTTTTCTTCCTGTCATTTTTAATATCTTTGTGACTATTCGTATTCATCATATACTAGTATAGTTTCTATAAACGGGTTGTTGTTAAATTCAACACTGCTCCGCAACGCCTCCGCTTTGGCCGCGAGACTGCCATGATCGCTACTGATGGTCTTTTAACAATTGTAGATTTAATCTCGAATCAGTGAGACCGCTGAGAGGATCACTGCGCTCAGCGCTTCAAGAAAACGAGTCTCATCGGTTAGCAGCGTTGCCACCCCCATATTTTTAAAAATTGTGTGCAGCACTTAAGCAATAATGGTCTATTTCATCCCATCTAAAATGATTCAAATCATCCCATATGCAATGCAATACGAAAAAAGCATTTTTAGTTGTTTACTACCGTCACCTCCTACCACAGTGTAACATCGTCAAAAATATCTCTACATTCGTTTATAATAGATCTGTAGTTTGCT